TCGTGGGGGCCCCTAGAGCCAGATAACAGGTGTTTGAATTTCAGCTGTCACACCAGCTATGGATGGACCTTGGTCAAGTCCCTTCCTCCTTCTGAGCCTTGGTTTCCTCATTCATAAAATAGAACAATAAGAATAGCTGACTCTGGGGATGGTTGTAGGGATTAAATTACATCCAACAATGTTTGACCAAGAGGAAGTGGCCAATAGATGGTGTCTTTGGTGTCAGCATTTGGTTCTTCGCTCCCTCATCATCAAACATCTGCATGGGATCCCGTGATTCAGGTCTCTTAGATCACGTCTTGGAATTTACATATGACACACCGATTCCAGAAATGTAGATCAAAGGTGATCTGGGTTCCACAAAAGAGAAAGTATGGCAATGCCACCAATTTCAGATGACAGGTCATTCGTATTGCATGGAATTTCTTGTGGTTCCTCACACAGCCCATCAGCCACCCAGAGTTCCTTTTGCTCCTCATCCCCGCTCTTTGAGTAATAGGGTTCCATTCTGAATAAAGGGTTAAAAAGCTTCTAGTATCATGGCTGGGGAAGCAATCTTTGTTTGAGGGGGGGGTCACATTTCCGATTCTCAATGAAGCTGTATGGATTGGTAGAAGAAGCACAGATTCAAGTCCTGGGTCAACTGCTCTCTAACTATGTGCCTTGGACAAGTGCCTTCATGTCTCTGAACACTGATTTCATCTTTTCTAAATATAATGGGATTTGCTGTTTTTCTCCCAAACTGATGTTTTGCAACTGAAATGGAAACCGAGGTCTGGCCTCCCATGCTGAGGTTTGAGATTAACTAGGGCAAAGGGTTGATGAGGTGGAGGAACCAAGGCCTGAGGAATTTATGGCAGCCCAGGGTTTATGGTTTTGATATGGACTTATTAAGCACACTCTAGGACTGCAGTAGTCTCCTCCGGCCCCACCCCCCAGGTCTATGCTGGCACCAGCGTAGATGAAGCTTCTGTTGCAATATTATGGAAAACATTTCCTGGTACCGGAGAGTGGAGGGAGGGACGGGGGGGGGGGGGAGGCGGGAGCGGCCCTGGGATAAGGCGGGCAGCTAATGGGTGCTCTGGAGGCTGGAGAACTTAATGGTGAGCCTCTCACTAGAAAGGGACGGGCTGAAGAGTTCACACTCACCTAGTTGCCCACGGCGGCCACTTTGGGAACCTCATGTACACAGTCACTCTTACAGTTACTGTGATCTCACGCCATTTAATCCTGACAACACTCTTGTAGGGAGGGATTATTTGCATTTTACAGATGCAGCTCAGAGGGGTGGAGTGACCAAACCAAGGTTACACTGATCATCAAGATCTGTGACTCCTGGGCTGGACCTGCTGTCCCCTCTGTTGGGGAAGAACTGAAAGGGTCACTATGCTCCACCCTCATCTTTAAGTGATACCACACCTAGTTGCCCCCGAGTTGAGCCATCAGCACGCTCCCATCCACCCATCTCTGAGTGCCACGGTGTGCTGACGAACGGCTAACAGCCAGCTCTCTTGGGGAAAGCCTGCATTTGCAGTGTTTGCCAGTTCCTGTGGTGTAAATGCTCCCACCACTACTGTCAATGAGACATTGCCCGACGGGGAGGTGAGAAGAGTAGCTAACAATCGGCTCTCACAAGCCAGCTCCAGCACGTCCCTAAGTATGAGGCCGTGGTCCCTGGTGGCTAGTTTATCAGGGGGCAAGACCAAGGTGTTTATGAACCTGGCTGGAAATTCTCATGTGCACCCCTTGCTTTTATTATTTTCCAAAACAACACTTGCTTTGATGAAATTTCCCCGTACCTACTTGTCCCTTATTGCTGGCAGGTTGACCCAGGACCCAGGACAGGGCTCCATCTTGGGCCCTGATGGTAGATGACAGACCATTGGACCCTCTTGCCATTCTTCCAGACCTTGCCATCACCCCCTCCCTTATCACTCTTACTCTCCCCACATACTGAATATTCTAAACCAAGAGACCAGAGTTAGAGTCCTATCTCTGCCTCTCAAGGAAAATCACTTCCCCTGAGCCTCAGTTTCCCATCTATAAAGTGGAAGGTGGTAATAAAAATGTCTAGCCTGCTTACCTCTTCATGTGAAGATTAAACAATGATGGATATGAGAGCTCTCTTTGTACACAGTAGAAGGCTATCTGACTATTTTTGTAAAAGGCAAAAGATTTATACGATCTGAAGAGAAACCAGAGTATTTATCTGACTATTCTCATTCTTATTTCTAATGCCCAAGAGGAAGAAATGACATCCATCCAAGGACTTAGAAAACATATGCCATTTATTTTGCTTTATAAACTTTTGTTAAAACACACAAGAAATTTTTTGTTTGTTTGTTTGTTTGTTTGTTTGCCCCATTGGGTGGCAGTGACAGGGGCTCAGGTGTCAGCACAGGACCTAATGACATTCACACCAACTGGAAGATGCGGGTGGACCCGACAGAACCCAGCCCCCTTCCAGAACCGCTTGATGCGAACTCCACACTTCTTCCCAGTCAGGGCGAGTCGCAGAAGTAACTGGCTTGGTCATCCCAAGAAATGTGGGGGCATCCATTCACACCCCTTTTTCTTCTCCTCCTTGTCTACTTTCAGGTGAGCCATGTAGACTCTGGAAGCTTCTGAGAGCTGCCTCAAGAAGGGGTTGTCTTGGGGTCCGTGCTTGCCCTTCCAGCCATTTTCCAGTCCATCAGATTTTGTTTTAGAACCATAACTCAAGTAGACCCCCCCCAAAAAAAATTCCCATGTGGTGTCTCAGATTAGAATCAGAAGAGTAAACTTGCCTTTTTGTTTCTGGCATTGCAATAAAATTATTAAAGTGGATTTCTCCTCCAGGAAGAGTTGATTTGGGCAGAGAACTGATCCCTTGCCCCAGAAAACTGCTGCCATTAAAAGCCATCATTACCCTACTCTGTCCCATGGGAAATCCGTCTCTCACATTGGCTCCCAAGACATTGCGGGGTGAAATGACCACGATGACCAGAATGACTCCAGCATCCCTACCTTGCCCCCGGCCAGCCTGGCATGTCTGGGGAAGCGAAATGAGATGTGACTAAGGAAGGCTTGAGAGCTCAGAGCAGGGGACACTTTCTCCTGGGAGTGGAGCTTGGCTGGCTGGAGTGGGGAAGGCCAATCCCAGCAGCGCCCAACATGTGAAGATTTCTCGTGGACATACTGTCCCAGTACCCTTTACGCCTCTTTTTCCAAAAGGAACAATCACTAGTGATGGAATGTGGGGGCAAAGGGGTACTGCCCCCCCCACTCAGAATGGTCATCCCTGGCTGGGGGGTATGTAGCTAGTCTAACTGTTCACCCCCCACCCCCACACTTAAGCACAGCTCTGGTCCTGGCTTTAATTCCCACTGGTAAGTGGCATTTTACAGAATTCTGCAAAGCCACTAAGACTGCATGAATGAGGCTCCAGAATGTACTCTGAGTGTTCCCCAGAGCAAGTCTCAAACCCAGACCTGTCCTCTGCCCTCCACCCAAACCAGCCCACTCCTGGAATGCCAGGCCCATCGGCCTGTTTCCCAAGGACCAGACCTCTGATGTTCATCCCTCAGAGTTGGGGGTGAAGAGAGAAAAGGGGTTCAAGAGTTGTGAATTCTCTTTGTTTATCGGCAAACAGGATTCTGGACCCTAAATGGACTTGATTGCATCCTCCTGTAAATCTTAGTTCTGGGTGTGGGCAGGCCTTCCCCAAAGAATGAAACTTTGGCTCCTAAGGCTGGTGAAGGGGGCAGGAAGTCCCTCAGCTCTATCCCAGTGAGCAGAGGGACGCTTGCAGCAAAGAGGTTCTGCCACCTTGGTTAAGAGCTCCTGTTCTGATCCAGGCAGACCTGGCATCCAGTCCTCATTTGGTCACTTCCTAGCTCTGTGAGTTCCAGAAAATTCACATCCTCATAGATCTCAATATGATCTTCTGTCCTGTCTCTGGGTAAGAGGGAGGAGGCAAGCAGCTGACTCTTGTCAAGCGCCTTGAGACAGTCCCAGGAGTAAGGAAGAGCTTGACACAGGCCCTGGTGGGTCATTCCTCCCTGATGTCACTCTGACCTGGGGATTCGCCCATCCTTTTCCACCCGACGTCTCACTCCCTCACCTGGGTTACAGCATCAGCCCCCGTCCCTCCTCCTTGCTCCTCCCCAAACGTCCAGCCTCCGCAGGACTGCTGACTTCAGCCTCTGCAGGCTCAGCTGACTCCCTTCCCCGCTGCCCGTGGCCGAGGAGCCCCGCGCGGCCAATGCCTCAGTCCGGCCTGCCTGCGAGGCGCTCTGCTGCTCCCTGCGGGCCTGCCTTTCCACCGCCTCCCTCCCCTGCCCTTCTTCTGACCTCCAGGCCTTGCCTGGGCTGTTCGACCTCCCTCGGAATGTCCTGTCTCAACTGCTCCGCCCGCTGGAATCCAACCCTGCCTTCGGGGCCTGGTCCTTAGTCTGCCCCTTCGAGGCTGCTTTCTCTGCCGGGCCCAGCCTTCCCTCTGAGCTGCTGGGGCAGCTGCCCACCTCAACTTGTTCTTTCCTTGTTGAGAGCCTGTCGGGATCATCACTCCCAACCAAGGGGTCCGCCCAAGGGTCCCAGCCACGCCCCCGAGGAAGGGAAGAACTGCGGGTCAGAGGCAGAAAGGGTCTTCCTTCTCCACAACCTGCTACACTGTGTTCGGCCCCAGTCAGCACTCTGAAAATGCCCCCAGAACGACTGGGGGAATTGTTCCCAGGCCTCCCTCTGCCTCTGGAGAGGTGGCTTTGGAGAAACCGGCATGCTGAGGTGGCAGAGGCAGATGGAGAAGAGCGCTGGAGGTTGGGGCAGCAGAACAGGGAGGACAGGGGGTCGCGGTCTGACCCAGCTGAAAGGGCTCCCCGTCTGTTTCTGGGCACGGCAGCGACAGCCGGGCGGGGGGAGGAGGAGGACCCAGCCTGGGGCGGAGGGGCCGGTGTGGGAGCAGGTCCCGCGTCGTTCCGGGGGCAGTCCCCTGCGGGAGGAGCAGTTGGGGCCCCTGCGGGAGGAGCAGTTGGGGATGGCTACGGATGAGGGAAGGCAGTGGCTTTGGCAAAGCTGTCCAAGGCAGCAGAGGTGTTCCGGCTGGGATCTCCCCAAGGCAAAGCCCCGTCATCCAGAGCAGGGGTGTGGCAAGGTGACGTGGCCCGCAGCCCGAGTTCTTGGGCCCTTTGCCCTTTTCATTACTGCTCTGGGACTGGCCCTGTTGTCACAGCTTCCTTCACTGTGACCAAGGGACCACCAGGGGCTCTCTGAAGGGGCTGGGGAGCCAGCAGAGCCCCCGGCCCCTGGCGGCTTGCTAGATGACTTCTTGCTTGGTGATAGTCAGCTGGGGGATGGCGGACGGGGGCTTGACGATCGTGGCGATGGCCCCTGGCAGGAGCTTATAGGGCTCAGACCCCGAGCCACCGGGCGGCGAGGGCTGTGGAGTCTCAGGGGTGGCTGGAGGGACAGAGAGACAGAGCGGCTGCTTAGAATGCCAGCCCTTTGGGGAGTGAAGGAAGAGCCCTAGGAAAGTTCTCCCCCCTCTCTGGGGCTAGTTTCCTCTTCTACAAATGAGAGAATAAAGCTGGGTAATCTCTAAGGCCTCTGACGCCCAGGCTTTCTGAGTCCCAGATCACAGCCTTCAGCCCCGAGAGGCCTGGGAGGCCGTGGCCGGGCCAGGGTTGTGGTCAGGGCCTTCTCCCAGGTCCCACCCACCCCATCTCCTCCATCATTCGATGTGGAAGTGTGGGCTCCTTCTCCCAACCCGGGGCCCAAGTCTGCCTCTCCCCTAGGACGATAGGACATGTGGTAGGAATACCCATTCCCGGAGAGAAGGAGCAATAGTTGATGAAACACGAGGGTCTCACTAAGTGGATTTAAAAATACCATTTTTCTGATATTTAAGTAGACGAGTAACAGAAATTAAGTGGCCTCATCCCCATAATGGGTTCAGAAAGCAACTTGGACCATGGCGCGCTTGGCTAATTTTACTCAATGGACGACTGTCCTAAAGAACAATCTCGATGAAATGAAATCTCATTTTAGTGGACTGCCTCCTCCCAGTGATAATCTGACTCTGAAGAACTTTGCCAGGGACAAACTCACTCTTGTGAGATTTTGTCTCTGAAGAGAGGCTAGTCCAGTGGACACTCCAACCTAATAAATAGTCTTACCCAGCTGGGCTAATGCAGAGCCTTACCCAACTGAGGAGCCTTATTTAACAAGCAGGTTTACCTAGTGCACAGCCCCTGAGGGCGCTTTCACCCTCATGGACAGCCTCACCCAGTGGGCAGCCCCACCCGGTGGGTTCCCTCATCCCCAGGGCAGCTTCCTTCAGTAGACGCTGACAATCACCTCGCTGGATAGAAGCCTTAATAAGTGGGCAATCTCACCCCCCATTCCTGCCCTGGAGCACAGAGAACTGTCACATCCTGGTTCTCATCTTCTAGACCCGACCGTCCCCTGGCTCCCTCTTAGGCCCCAACCTCACCCCTCCTTGAACAGGGCCCACGTTGCCCACCTGCCTGCCCCCTGGGTCGGGGCCACTCACACATCTGTCCATTGCTGAGGTGAGCAGGCATCGTGTTGGCAACAATGACGTTGGTGCCCATGTGTTCCTGCATCAGGTGAGGGTGCAGGGGGTGATGGGCATGCGTTGCATCGCTGGAGGATCCTGCAGGTAGAGAGGGAACTCAGTGAAGGGGGGATAAGGACCACGGGCCTTGAGCCACCGTCTTCCTCAGGGGTGGCCAGTCAGCCTGCCCATCCCTCACTGATGACGCCTACTGGGTTCCTAGTCCTGGGTTAGCAAACTGGGGCTCAAGATCCCATCCATAGATTTTATGAGGGTACTGAGAGACCCAAAAAACCAAGAGAACAAAAGTGATTTAAAAGAAATAAGGAGCAAGTGAGGAAGCATTGAGATAATTCAAATATTATATTGAGCATTGATTGGATGTTACTATAATTGATTTAATCAATGGCTCTCAAAGTTCATCGGCATGAAGTCCTTCAACCATTTGGTCCCACCTCACCTTTCCGCCTCATCCCCACACCTCCACGCCTCCATGTCCTCAACTCCAGCTCAGAAATTTCCTCCTTTGGGAAGCCTCTGCTGATTCTCCCCACTCCAACAGGAAGCAAACCTCTCCTTCCTTGGAATGCCCACAGTAAGTAGTTTGCCTGTAAGTTAAGTCAGTAACCCGTCCTTCGGGAACAACCACTCCTGCCTGTGAGCATCACAATGAGCCCAAGCTGCCTCGCTCGGCCCCTGCTTCCTACCCTTCCGGCTCACTTCGGCTGGTACCGTCACGGCGAAAATCCTTCAACCCGAATGAGGCTGCCAATTCACTGACCCTCAGCTTTACCATCTACCACCCCATCTTTATTTCTCTGGCAGGCCAGCCAAGACTCCATTGCCCATTATTGCCGTCGCTCCCTCCCATTCATCGTTAGCTCCCTCCTAGCTCCCCTTCGGAGTAAAACATTTTCCAAGGGTGAGTCTACCCTTGCTATGTGCACTTCACTTTCCCACTCACTCGCTCGCTCTGCAACACCTCCCGGTCTGGCTTCCTTTCCCACGGTCCTCTGACACTCTCCTTTTCACAAGCGCCAAGAGCCTCCATGTGCCAATCCAACGCACACTTCCATCCCTCTCCTGCAGAATTTAGTGCCATTGAATCCTCCTTAAAACATGCTCTTCTCTTGGAACTTCCCTGGCTTTGCTTCTGTCCCCTGGCCAGTCTTCCTCCAATCTCCTCCCTGGCACCTGATGGCTGGGACACCACAGAGCTGCCTTTCATCCTGAGCTTTGGGCTTGTGCTTGAGCAACAGACATTCAACTGCCCCCTTAATAACTCAGCTTGGATATCTGATAGGCACCTCAAGTTTAACTATGGTCTAAAATGAACCTCTTGGTCCATCCCTCGCTACCACCACCACCACCACACCCAGCATCAAATTGTTTTTTCTCAGTCTTCCCATCTTAGTAAATTGCCCCACTAGAATTCCTGTTACTCAAAGCAAAAACAGGTTTCATCCTTGACTCTTCCCCTTCCCCTCCTTCCCCACATCTGATCAATCAGCAAGTCCTATAGGTTCTTCCTCCAAATAGATGATCGAGTATTCCCTCTGCTGCTCAATTCCCAGCCAGGCTTTAGTCCAGGCCCCCATCACCCTCCCTCTGACTGCAGACAACGCTCCCGGGGTCTCCCGCCTGCCCTTCCCCCCCACGCCCAAAATTCAGTTGCTACCCGGAAATCAGAGTAGTTAGCTTAAAACACTCACCTGATTTTCACTTTTCTTATAATGGTTGTGTGAGAATAAAATCCCAGTTTCTGACCATGGCCTATAAAACCATAGGCTTCTCATTTGGCTTCTGCCTGATCTTTATCTTCATCTCACACAATTCTCCCATCTCACAACTTTATCCTTCCTCCCCTGATACACTAACCTCTCCTGCTTTGGGACTTTTGTATTAGTTACTTCTGCCTAGAGTGTTTTTCTCTTGGCTTTTAAATGTTCTATTTCCTTTCACTCATCAGGTCTAAGCACAAAAATCACCATCTTGGAGAAACCCCCTTGTTTAACCTATTAAAAGAGGCCCTGTTTCAGTTATGCTGTACTGTTCTACCTGGTTATTTAAATATCTGCAGTTACGCTCTTTATCATATAATTCATTATTGCCTGTTCCCACGGGCCCGTGTACACACGTGCACACACACTCACACAACCACCAGGAGGGCAGAGATCTGGTTCTCTGCTGAACCTCCAGCACTTAAAACAGTGCCTGGCATGTGCTAGGTGCTCCATGCCCTGAATGAATGGACCATTGTCCCCATTTTCCTGATGAGGAAACTGAAGCTCAGGTAGCTTAAGGGATTTGCCCAGAGCCACAGAGTGAGGAAGCGATGGAGCTCAGAGGGGAACCCAGGTCTGCGTGCGTTTGTCTCTTGGAGAGGTCCCTCTGCCCTCGCCCACCTCTCAGCCCCTCCTGGGCCTGGCACGGACCTCCCAGCAGCATCTCCTGCAGCAGGTTGTCGATCTTGGCCATGCCGAAGAGCTTGATAAACTGGATCTGCTCGATCATCTGCCAGGTGATGCTCTGCAGGGTGGGCAGGAGCAGCAGCAGCTCCCCGAAGCGGCCGCGCGAGTCGTACTGGCGGTCATTGATGTAGTCCTCCAGGCTCACCTGCACCTGGGACCGCAGCCGCTTGATCTTCCCCGGGTCGCTCAGCCCCTTGGCATCTGCAACGGGAGGGGTGGGCAAGGGAGGGCAGGGGGCCCCGCTGGAGCATCTGGAAAGTGAGGACCCAGACCTCCCCTGACTCATAGGCACCCGATAGGGGGCCTAGTGGCCCAAGGTCACATCGCAGTCCCCAGCAGCGCTGGGATGAGGATTCCGGATCCCCAGGAACCAGAGTTCACTAGGGCAGATGGTAGCTTCCTGCACTCAGGCAGAAAAGTGTTTCTGTCACGTTTCCTGAGATGTAGAACTGGGAGAGGGAAACGAGTGATGGAAGACGGGACTTCAGGAACATACACTCACTTAGCAACTTCCTCATTACATTGAGGAAACTGAGGCATGGAGCAGGGAAAGGACTTGGCCCAGGTCACACATCTAGTTGCTGACAGATCCATGATGTGGACTTGGGGCTCCCGACTCCTGGGGAGGTCTGCTGTTCATACCTCAGCCCACGCTGCCTCTGCTGCCCTCGAACAGTGTCCCCACCTCTCCGTTCCCTTGCTTGTGCCATCTTGGGGTCTCAGCTTGGCTTTCACCAGGAAACCTCCACCAGGAAAGCTTCTCCATTCCCCACTCCCTGAGTCTGCACTGTGAGTGTCCATGACGTCCCCAAATTTCTGAGGCTGCTGGGCTGCACGGGAGGCGACTCTTCCCCTAGCCTGCGAGCTCTATGCAGGCAGGCCTACATCTCGTTTGTTATTTTAAACCCACCGCCTAGCACCATGATTGGTCAATATTTGTTGAATAGGTAACTAGAGGAAAGGAGAGGTAGCTGGATGGAAAGATAAAGGAATGAAAAAAAAGTCAATGGATAAATTCTAGATCCTCAGTCTCAAGAAGGGCACTCAAGTACTCCTTCACTAGACAATCTCAAACTTCATGGAGGAAATGCATTTATTTCCTAAAGTAAGTGGCAGAAAGAGAATTTCACCCTCACTCCCAGTCCAGGGCTCTCTCCACTGGACCATGTTTGTGCGTTCTTTTACTCAGTCAATAAACTTTTATTGAGCACCACCTACATGCCAGGCCCTAACTAAGTCACCTGCCCCTCCAAGCCAGGCAGCTGACCCTGACTCAGCATCAGTAATCCAACACTTTTTGCTGAGCAATGATTCTGTCCAGTGCTGAGCACTCCAGGGAATGCAGCCTGGGCCAGGCTTTCAAGGAAACTAGACCTAGAAATCTTACCCTTTAAGAAATGGGGAATAACATGTAGTAGGTAAGAACAGAGGCTTGAGAGCTGGATAGTCTGAAGTTCAAAGCTGAGCTCTGTCATTTCCTGGTTGTGTGACCTTGGGCAAATTAATCTATCTCCCTGTGCCTCCGGTTTCTAACCTGCAAAATGGGGATAATAATCCCAACTTCGTAGGTACCGTGTCGCAAATAATAAGTGAGATAATCCACTTAGAGTGTTTAGAATGGCACCTTAAAAAGCATTCCATAAGTGGGGGTCATCTTCCTCTTCATTACCATTATTGCTAGAGGTGACCTTCATGCAGGTGGGGCCTTGCTCTAAGACGGTACCTAGCACATAGTAGGTCCTCTCTAAGATGTAAGGAGGGAAGGAAGCAAGCAAGCCTTTGGCGGCCCAGGAATCTTGACATTGTTTATATAAAATCAGGCCTTGCACACAGACATCACCAGAAATGCAGATGGAAAGTCAGTAGATGGAATGGAGAGAGTTGAGAGCTGAAGGGAAGGGTGGGGATGCAATACAGCAGACCCCGCTTATCTGTGGGAGGTACGTCCAAGACCCCCAGCGGATGCCTGAAACCACAAATAGAACTGAGCCCTTTATGTACCTTGTTATATACCATACTTTTTCATATACACACATACCTATGATGAGGTTTAATTTACAAATTAGGCACAGTAAGAGATTAACATCAATAACTAATAATACAATTGAACAATTATAACTATACAGTTATAACTTATATTGTAATAAAAGTTCAGTGAATGTGATCTTTTTCTTTCTTTCTCAAAATATCTTATTAGACTGTATTCATCTTTTCACTTAAAGGAAGCACTTCGCAGCTTCTCTTTTGAATGTCTGAGTTGCCAGCATCACTTCTCTGGCACTTCGGGGCCATTATTCAGTAAAAGAGGATTACTTGAACAAGAGGACTGCAATACTGCGGCAATCCTTCTGATAACTGAGTTGGCCGCTAAGTGGCTAACAGGCAGGCAGCATATGCACGGTGAATAGCTGGGGAAGGGGATGATTCACGGCCCCAGGCAGGGCGAAACAGGAGGGTGCGAGATTTCCTGCACCACTTAGAACACCGTGCAATTATAAACTTACAAATGGTTTATTTCTGGAATATTCCATTTAATGTTTTCAGACCGTGGTTGACCACAGGTAACTGAAACCGCAAAAGGCAAAACTGCAGACAAGGACGGCTGTACTTCCACCCTGCTGGGTGAAGGATTAGAAAATCCTCTCCATAGGTGATAGAACAAGAAATAAAAGCGTAAGTACATAACAAATGTTATGAAGGTGATCAATAGAGACACTAAATTAGCCATACAAATATATTAAGAGGATGGGGGAGAAAAGATGGGAATGGTGATAGAGGAAAGTGGAATCCTCCACTAGCCTAGAAGGAAGAATACGATCTAAAAACGAAAACCAAGAAAGAGCAGGCTGAACATCTTACTTAGAGCTTGAGGTCGTGGCCAGAAGAAACAGTCAAAAGAATCAGGAATGGTGCCCTCCAGGGAGTAGGCTTTAGCAGGGGAAGTGGGGTGGGGGGTACTATTTGCTTTTTAAGTATGTGCAGATATCATTTTGACAAAAATTTATTTAAGGAAAAGTAGCAAATATAAAAGGAAAGAAAAGAAGGAAGATAGGAGGTAAAGGGAGAGCGGGAAGAAGGGAGAGGAGGAAAAAAAACAACCAAGCCTCTGGAGTCAGTGCGCCCTGTCAAGTCATGCCATCCCCTTGAACCTTGATTTTCCTCATCTGTTAAATGGAGCTAATAAAAATGCCCTCTTCCGCTTGTTGTATTAAAGAGACAAGGTTGTGAACTCAGGGTACAAGTCCGACAGAAGGCCTGGAGCATCAGGGTGGCCGGGAGGCATGAACTGTACCTGGGTCAAAGAAGATGATGGCTTTGAGGCAGGCGTACTCATTGTCATCGATCTGCAGCTCCTGGAAAGGCAGCACCAGCTCGTCGAGGATGCGCATGGACACCCGGCTCATCTCTGCCAGCTCCGGGCAGTGCCGCGGGATGATGTAGTCGTTGCCTACATGGGTTGGAAAGGGGAGGGGATGGGGAAACCACCTTGGCGGCGCCCCTTGCCCCGAGCTTCGAACAGGCCCTGTCCTTGGCTGCTGCGATGCAGCTGGTGCCCCCCGGGGACTGTCATGCCCATTTTCCAGATGAGGACGTTAAGGCTCAGATTGAAGGAATGAGTTGCTTAAAGTCATTGGACTGGGCCTGGAGCCTGGCTTCCTAGGACCCTTCACATCACCCAAGTTCCATTCTTCAACAAGACCCTCAAGACTGACGGGCAACTTAGAAGGCACCAAAGCATCAAGATTAAGGGCCTAGATTCTGGAACCAGACTGCTTGGGTCGAATCCCAGTTCTACCACTAACAAGCCTGCTATATTTGGATAAATTTCTATGCCTTGTTCTTTTTTCCACGTATAAAATGGGAATAAATAACAGAGCTTACCTCATAAGAGTTTTTATATTAAAGGAGCTGATATTTGTAAAGTGCTCAGACGAGGACCTGACCCACAGTGTGATTTATACAGGCATCAAAATAATAAACACACATGCCATGAAGGCATAGGTGACACAGGCTGGGGGCGGTGCCATTTCTGCCTGTGTCTTGCTCCTGCTCCAGAAAGCGCATCAGAACGCAGAGTAACTCCAGGGAGAGCCCTGAGTGTGCTCGGGCAGCCGCCCCTCACCTAGCAGCAGAACGTCCTTGAACACCATGGATCGCTTGGTGGCTCCGAGCAGCAGGTGCTCGCCGGCGTGGGCTCTGAGCAGGGCCACCTGGAAGAGAGGAGGGATGCTGTCTGGCATCTGCCCCCACCCCCAGGAAGGCTGCTCCTAGCCGACTCACTGGCCCTGGGCTAGTCAGCTGCATCTTCGCTTGCCTTTACCTGCCTGAACGTAAAATGGACATCAGGAAACTGCTGCCCTCTTCCCATAACTGATCGAACCAGGGGCCTGGAAAAGATTCTATAGGAACCCAGGAGGGAAAAGGCATGCACTCAGAACAGGGAGACCAACGCTGACTCAGACCTTGAACTTCTGCGTCCCTGGACAAGTTGCCACTCCCTTCTGGGCCTGGTTTATGTGCCTGGTGAAACGGTGACCACATTCTGGGTGTGTTTTTTTCCTTTAGGGGCTCAAGGGCTTTCATCAGACTCTGAAGAGTTCTAAAAGTTCTGAAACTATGGGTCCCAAATTCCTACCCATGGACCAGCTATGAGAGATTATGAAGAGTGTTTTATAAAAACGCAGACTCTTAGGCCCTACAATCAGAGACTCTGATTCTGTACGTACGGGGCTGGGCCCAAGGATCTGCACTAATAAGTTCCCCAGCTGACTCTGATGTGTGCCGCTGTGTCTGGGAAACCACGACTCCAGAAGATCTCCAGGGCATCTGCTCACTTGACATTGCAAGGTTCTAGGATTCTGGGAGTGAGTTACAAGAATTTGGACTTGGATGTTGGTTCCCGCCCAAGGCAAAGGGAGGAGCACTGGTCTTTGGAAGGGAATAAGCTGACAGACCCCTTTGCTGCAGAAAGGACAAGGCTGCCTCAGAAAACTAAAGTCAGAGGTAGGAGCCCAGCCAACTCACAGGAGGACAGGGCCTGCCCTTTCCGAACCACCTGCTTTCGTGCTAGCAGGAGAACGGAAGGGTGGGACAGACAATAGGAGCAGGCTGGTAGCCTCAGGGGTCTCACCTGCGAGGCTGGGTTTGGGAGTTAAGAGGTCTTTTAGCAGGCTAAGTTCTGAAATAAAATTGCTTTTGTTTATTCATTCATTTGATTGTTCTTTCGGTCATCAAATATTAAGTGCCTACTAATGGACAGACACTTTTTTAGACAATGGGGACACAGTGATGAAAGAAGAGGAAAGGAGGATGAGAAGAAGGGAGAGAGAGAAAGTGAGAAAGAAGGAGAAAGAAGAGAAGAGGGGAGCAAGGAAGGAAAGGAAGGAGGAGGGAAGGAGGGAAGGGGAAAAGAGGGGGGAGGGAGGGAGGTGAGGGCTGCGTGATAAAGAGCAATGGGGCAAGAGTGACTACATGAACCAGGAGGTCAGAAAAGGCCTATCCAAGGAGGTGAACTTGTTCTAAGGCACATAGTACACATTCAATAAATATTTGTTTGAAAGAAGGAAGGAAGAAATGGGTCAATGAACGAATGAGCAAACTAGTTAACTTCCTCTCCAGATCTAGCCCCTCCTGGGCAGCCACCGGGCCTTCCCTAGTCTACCTTCCTTGTGGGGATGACAGGAAAAGAGGAGAAATGGCAAACAGGAGGTGCGAGTGCACTTTCCACGACCAGGACAAGGATGCTTATTATGGAGCACTTCTATACTGTTCGCCCAGCACTGTGCTGGGTTTTTGTCACATAATCAGTGGCTCTCAAACTGAGAGGCCGAAGAACTGGCATCAAATCCCAGCTCTGTGGCTGCCTTGCTCTGTGACCTTGGGCAAATCGCTTCCCCTTTCTAGGTCTCAGGCCCCTTATCCAATGCTACCCAGCCTTCCAGATTTCAATGGATTGATGTCCCAAATAAAACAAGAAGTAAACATACTTGGAAGGTGGTTCCTGGGGCAATCTCTATAGATCTGGGGTGTCCTTTGGAAGAAAATGATCCCCAGTTCTCCTAGGTATGCCTGCTCCTCCCCCACCCCCATCTTGAGCAAGATGAGCTCCTTATATTCCATGAATGGGGAGCTAGGAAGCCTCATGGTCCTGGGTCCAGTCCCCTGACATGGTGGCTGTTCTGGGGACTTGACCTGGGGGTGAGCAGGCAGGGGGGGTGTTAATGATTGTCCTGTGTTATTGGCCACCCATCACTGCTCTCTGAGAATGCTCTGAGCCCCAGCCAGGGAGGTTTGGGTGGGAAATCGAGGTTAACAATTGTTCAGCTTGGGGGTGTCTTGTTGCCCTGCTGAGCCCCTGGGAAGGAACAGGAGGGATTAAACATTAATGCAGACTCTCCAGCAGAGGGGACCGGGGCCAGAACATGAGGAGCAGGGGAGAAAGCAGGGACAGCTCTGCCAAGATCCCTGCCCTGCCATTCCTCCCAACGCAGGGGGAATCCACGTGAGAGGACATCCGATCCGGACCCTGTGTGAGGCTGAGGACCAGCCAAACCAGTGTTTGTACAGCACACCCCGCCGTGGGGTACTGATGGGTGTTCCAGGAGAGTCTGGGTGTCAGAGGAGCTCAGAAGCCCTGGGTCCATCCCCACAGCTCAACAGACGCCTTGCCTGTGGGGCTTCTCAGGAAATTTAATAAACTGACGTGCATTGCCAGTTCTCTGTGCAACACAGAGAATCCAATGCACCAGGAGTTGATACCTCAGCCCTGGCCATTGGTGACTCCGAGCTTCGCTCAGAGCTGAACAGGTGACCCAGCCCAGCGTTCCTTTCCCAGACAGGGGAGACGTCAGCAGAGGCCTAATGGGGGCCCTACACGGGAGCTAGCGTTTGCAGCATCTCAGAAACTCATTTGTCCTTTGATCCTCCCCCACCTACACAGTCCCCATGTTCCTCCTGAGACATTTTTGTCATGCCAAAGAATGTACTTTGGGAAATAGAATGCTGAGTTCAGCCATCCTAGTGGGTACAAGGAAGAAACTGACATTTAGGGAGGCCAGCGGGGGCCGGGCCCTGTGGAGGTGCTCATTTCATGATTTACATTTTTCAGATGGTAATGTCCTCAATCCTTCCAACAACTTCCTGAGGCAGGTATCATAATTTCCACTTTACAGATGAGAAAACTGAGACTCAAAGACAGGAAGTAGTCTGTCCAAGATCACACAGAGAACCAATCTCAAAACCAGGGCTCAATCCCAAACCTCCTGATTCCTGGCCTTGGGCCGCTGGACTTTGGAGCTTGCTTGCCTGGTTCTAATCCCAGCTTTGCTGGTTACTAGCTGTGTGACCTTGAGCAAGTTACTCAACTTCTCTGTACCCCAGTTTCCTCATCTATAAGATGGAACTAATAACAGCACTACCTCATAGTGTTGTTGGAAGGATTAAAAGAGTTAATATTTGCAAAGCGATTTTAGAAAGATTCCAGGACATACGAGCATTATGTGCATTTTGTTAAATAAAATCAAACCAGTCCAAGGCTCGATGCCAGGTGGGCCAGCAGGACCCTTCTGTCCAGGCCCCTCCGCCCGCAGCCCACGTGGACCCACACCTGGTCGTCCAGGGGGAGTTCGCAGAAAGCCGGGATGTACTTGGCCCACTCCACGAGCACCAGCAGCTGCTCCTTCATGGACTCGCACACGTCCGCGATGCTGGCGATCTTCTTTGCCCGAATGTCTCCATTGATCCCGGAGACAGGGGAGGCGATCTTGGGGAGAGGAAGGAAAATGCTGGGGATGGCTGGGCCTGCAGCACACTCTCGGAATGCTGCGCAGAACCCCTCCTCAGGTAGTGTCCCTGTCTGGAAACGGGGAGATGGACAGTGCGTGTCTTCTCAGCTCTGGGGGACGTTCAGGGGGAAACGGATGGAAGGGAGAATGATGAAGAAGGCAGGTGGAAAGGAAGAGGGCTCCCTCTGGGCTGTCACCTGCTGCCTGTCCCCACCTTTTCTTCTGCTAGCTCCTCAGAATCCCAAGAAACCCCTCAGTCCTAGGGGAGATGCAGGGAAAAGATAATCATCCTCATCGGATAGATGAAGAAACCACAGCCGAAGAGAGGTGCTGTGACTTGCCCAAGGTCACACGGCAAGAGGCTGGCTGAGTCCCAGCTTGTAACTCTGTCTACTTGTTCACTGTTCTGTTCTCTTGGGGCGAAGTTGACCTCAGGTCATCAGTGAAAGCAAAGACTCTGCTTGGCCTGAGCAATGCAGGCCGTGGGATGGGCTACAAAGCGCCCCAGGGTGCCAAGCCTGGGTTCAAGATTCGTCTTGGCTACTAAACTGGCTGCGTGACACTGGACTCGGTTTCCCTTCTGGGATATCTGAGGGTCTTGCTTGCCGCTGCTCCAGGTTTGGCTGGGGAGGACGGGGTGGAAGTGACTCCTCTTTGGTGGATGGGGGTCCCAGGTGGGAGAAGGGGTCACCCTGGTACCTGCTGGGACAGGACCTCGGCCTGCAGGAGCGCATTGATGGAGGGCAGACTGCTGTCCTCATAGCTTGACCTGCGAGTGCTGATCCGGTCCCGCTCATTTTGCACAGCTGTGAGGACAGCAGAGAGAGGTGAGGGGGGAGGGCGGGGGTGTGGCGGGGGGAGGGTGTTCGCATGACAGATGGGGAGTGGGTGAGGTGCGAGGGGAGAGTTAACTCAGAAAGAGATTCTCAGTGCTGTCCTGCCGCGAAGGAGACACAGCTGGAGGTGAGTAGGAGGGGGCGTCCAGGGGGCAAGGGCCCAGGTCAGCTTGTGGGGAGGAGGGGAGATGACTACTAACCCAGCTTGGGGAAGAACTTTCCAAGTGCCAGAACTGCCCCCAACACAATGTGGTGACTGCAGGAGCAATCCACCCGTCACTGGGCACGTGCAAGACAATGACTTAGCAGAGGGCTTAAAGGGTGTCTTGAGCATTGCAGAGGGGTTCTGTCTAGGTAACAGATTTCCAAGTTCTGTTTCGGAAAATGGTCCCTTTCTTTCCAGATGAAAACATGCAAAACAAGCAAAATGAATTTTCTCTGGGTGACACGAGATGGCCCAGGGGCTCTGTGGCAGAAGGTCTTGACAAGGGGACCTGAGGCCACACCTGACCTGGCAGCCTCATCCATCAGCAGGAGCGGCATGTGCTCCAGACTAACCTTCTCAGAGACAGCGAAGGACGCTGTCCCCCTGCCCCACTGCTGAGCTCTCTCTAGGAACGCAGAGATCTGGGGCCTCTGTCCACCAGGGTCCCACACTCCACTACGTGTCCCCACCCAGGCCAGTCCTGGCCTAAAATGTAAGAAGTACCTTCTGCCGCCTGGCCTGTCCCTCGGACGCCGAGAGGCAGGCCTCCCTGCGCAATGAGGCTTGGAGGAAGCTGGAAGGAGGCAGCAGTGGGTGGGAGGAGACCCAGGTCCTGTTCCATATATTGCCACTCGTTCCCTGAGCGCTGGTGGGAATCACCCCCTCTCTCTGGGCCTCCATTGCCCCATCTATCAGCTTTTGCCTACCAGAGAGCTCCTCTGCTTGCTCCCCCTCTCAGGAACAGGCAAGCGGGGAGACTCTTTCTCTCGCATAGCACCTCTACGCACGCCCCACACGCGTCAGTAATCCTTGCTCGGAATAGGTCCTCTGGCCCCACTCTCCCTGGGCCCTGCCTTCTCTTCCCTGGAGCAGTTCAGGGCCTCCTTGCTGGTCCCTTTGCTTCTGGCCTTGCCCCTGCAGCCTGTGCGCCTCTCAGGGAACTGAAACCCAAGCTCGGGTCATATCCCTCCATTGCTCAAAACCAGTGCCTCCCCACCTTACCCAGAGTGAAGCCACAGCTCATCCCTGCGGCCTTGTGTCTCTGATCTCCTTTGCCCACTCTGTCGCCCAAAGCTGCCCCCACTGCTCCTCAGACACATCCCGCCACCCTCCACCAGGGCCTTGGCTGCCGCTCTTCCTGCCCCCTCAGATCCTCTTCCCCATGGCTTAGCTGCATCTTCATGCCTCTCCTGTCTCCGTGCAAATGTCATCTTCTCAGAGATACCCTCACTGACCACCTGTCTGAGGTGGCAGTCCCTCCTCCTGCTCTGCCCTTCGTCCTGCTTCACGCTTCCTCTTGGCACTTACTGTAGAATTCTAGGTTTGTTTCTTTACTTTCTATCCCTCTCTGAGGAGGAAAGCTCCAGAAAGAATTTCCTTCCTCTTACTCACTGCTGTGGCCCCAGCGACCAGAACAGAGCCTGGCGCACAGTAGGTGCTCAATAAGTATTTGTCGAGTGAATGATAGAAGGTGCCGGAGGACCCTATGCCCTGTTTCTCAGTGGAGCATTGATATCCCAGCTATTCAACTTTCTCTGGATTTCACACATTGTTGAAATCAGAGAATGAAAGTCAGTCTAACTGGAGCCAGGAGTCAGTGAAATAAAATAGACGTCCCAAGATAAGAAATCTCTCCGGAGACCCACCAGCCTGCCCAGGGCCAGCTCCCAGAACCACTCCCAGCACCAGGCAGGCCCCAGCTGCCCCGCCCACCCTGCTCCCACAGCGCTGCCCGCACCGCCAGGGCGCCGAGGAGGCAGGCCGAATAAAAGGGCTGCTGTCAGCAGCTGCGGATTGGGCTCCTCAAGGTTAGGCCGGCCTTATCAGTGCCCGGCGCGAGCTCAGTCACGGAATGATGTTTTCTAAATGTTTGCTCAGTATTAGCAGGGTCGGGGACCTAATGTAACTTCTATTGAATATTAACCAACCTGGGCAGAGGCGGAGAGGAGGATGAGCTTGTCTTTTCAGAGAACCCCTGGATGGGGGCCTATAGGGGGCTGGGCTGGAGTGCCGAGAAGGGCCCCACCACCAACCTTCTCCACCCCGGCCCTGCTTCCTGCTCTGGGTCTCCGATGCCGGGAGCCTGACATTTGTCCTAGGTCCAGCAGCTGAGGCTCGGGTAGGTGATGGATTGTAGGAAAGAATTCTCGACCTGCTGTTGTGCCCACAGACCCCCAGATTTCTCTCCAGAGTCTTGGTCACTTCAGGGAACCCACGTCTGGCCGCCACGGAATATCCTCTGGCCAAGACTTACAGGTCTAGGGGAGTTGGAGCCCTTCCTCAGGGTCAAGGGCTTTCAGGAATCTGGACCCAAGAGGATTCCTATGCTGGTCCTTCCGCCTCCCCCACTTTTAGTCCTGGGAGCTTGGTGTCTGCCCAGCTCTGAGAGCCTGAGCTCTAGCTCTGACTCCACCTTGGAGCCGATCATGTCACTTCTCTGGCCTTAATTTCCCCTTCTGTAAGGTGGGGAGGAGGTAGATTTGATGGCCTCATGTACACCTGGCTGGTCTATAAATTTTGTTTTCAGCCCATACCTTCCTTTCCTCGGGGACTGCTTAAAAAAAAAGTGTCAGGTATGGAACATTATAATTTGATATCTGTATACTCTGCAAAGTGATCATCCTCAAAAGCCTAGTGACTATCCATCACCATACAACTGACCCCTCAGGGAATACTCTTGGGTTTAAATGCCCAAACCCTGCTGAGACTATCAAGGAAGAAAAATGAAAACTTGTCTCAACTCTTCTGATCCCTGCGGCTTCCAAAAATCTCCCTTGTCTCTGGGAACTTCCAACCAGGCTGAGGAGCGGTGCTGGGACTAAAAGATTTAGGTAGAGCTAGTAATACCCTTAACTTCCCAGAGTTTGACCACAGTGGCAACTGAATACTTTGCTACCCTGGCCTGTTCTCAAAGCCATCAAGCCACATGTGCACATGACACAATCTCAACCCAGGCGTGTAAATAAGCACCAACATTTACTCGTTTACGTTGACTTGCCACCAACCAATTCTTCTATCCCCCTGTCTTGAGCCAAGAAGCAATGGGTATTTTCAAGGCTAAGCTACGGCAAAATGGCGTGGTGTGCCCTCTTCCCTTCCAGGTACAGGATACAGGCCTGTGTCTCCTTGGCAGCTCAGGGGAAAGACCAGGAAACAAACACACAGGTCCCAGAGTCTGTGGTGAGGTTCACAAAGCTGGGAGGGATCATTACCAACCCCTGCCTTTTGTAGAGCCCTGAAGGGGCAGGAACTTCCTGGAAATGACACACGTGAAAATGACTCGATGCTTAACAAGAGACATGTGTAAAGACTGACCACAGCTGGACCGGGCCACACACAGCCTTGGAAGCCTGCCAACCCTTCTCCCACCTGCCCTGTCGCAGGCATGAAATTTTAACATGAGATTCATTTCTCTTAAACCTAGAATCTTAGACTGCAGGGTAATAGAATCACTGACTGTTAGAGCCATGGACTAGTAGGTGCTTCAACTATAGTTCTCAATCTTCCTCTTGCTGCCAGCTGTTCATACATACAGAGGTGGGCAAAAGTGGGTTTATAGTTGTGAGTGTGCAAAACAAAGTCTATTCTTGTAATAGTATTTATTATTGTATTGTTTATCATTATTATTAGCCTACTTTTGCCCACCCCTGTACACCACATTCCCATTTGTAACATTTCTCATTCCACAGAGTGATTCACAACTTGGAGGTGGCAGTGGGTAAGCGAGGCTCAGCCCCACTGAACATTGGGCGGAGGGGGGGGCGGCATTTGCCCTTTGAAAAAGCCCCTTCTCCACCTTGAGAACCACTGCGGTCTGGATGCTAGAACTGTGTAGAGAGGAGGAGGGGCTGCTCCTTCATCGGGGTCAGCAGACCCAGGTTTGGAAACAGGACTCACAAGCTCAAACCAAGGCCGTGTTAGGATGAGGAACAGATGTTTTCCAGGGAGGGAGCAGAGAAAACAGGGTCTTAGAGCCAGACGCAGGGGAGGAGAGGCTGCCACAGCTCAGGAGGCTCAGGCAGGTTGGGCCCCTGGTCTCTGCTATGGGGCAGAACAGGAATAAGGGGTAGGAGGAGCACAGGACCAGACCCATGGTTTGGCTGGGGCATCACAGCTGGCAGCTAGAAGTGAAGGCCTGGGGCCAGTCCTAGGGCTGGGAAATGTGAGATGAAAGGAGAAAAAAAGACTTGAAAATGAAGTGACTTTGAGAAGCAGCTAAAAGATTTTTGCTTCCTGAGCTTGGGCTGAAAAAATTTTAGATGTTCCTGCGGTCTGGAGGGCCTAAAGTAGGTGGCACGGAGGTATCCTCCAAACATCAATGAATTGAGTGCGTAGCCCTGGATCCAAACCCCAGCTCTTGCACTGGCCAGCAGTGGGGCCTTCGGCAAGTCACTGAACCATTCTGCGCCCCTGTTCCCTCATCCATGAAAGGGGGGAACAGTGATAGCGCTGGCCACATAGGGTTGTCATACGAATGAAAAGAACTGTCCGTCATGGAAAAGCCCAGCCCAGTGGTTGGTGTCTGCCAGTATCAGGAGGCCTGCAGAGACCTTAATCAACGTGCCCCGGCGTTCCCCTCTCCACCACCCAGGACAAGTCGGATGCCTTGTTCTCCTTCCCTAGAACATGAAAACCTTGACTCACCTGATACTCAAGAGTGATGACTAAGGAACTGGGGCACTTGCCCTTGAACAGCTCAGGAACAGAGCCACCCCCCAATCATATTTGCTGAGTCAATCATATTTACATGGACATTTGTAGTATCATTCTCTATACCTTTCTTAATGTTTGAAATAGTGTATATATATTAAAAAGACAACAACAACAACAAAAAACCAACACCCGACTTGGCTGCCCGGTGGTGGTGAAGGCAGGCAGGGGTGGCGGTGGCTGGGAACCCACGTAGCTGACAGTGGGAGCTTATCTCTTTGAATGTTCTCAAGACCAAGCCCAGCCCCTCCCTATGGTCAGATTTCTAGGCCCTTCCTTCTCTCAGCCATCAGCCAGTCACCCTGGGGCCTGTCACCGAGTCATAAAGTCGTGGCCACAGTTGTAAATGACTCCGGGGAGCCGCGGGCGCGGGTGGGGCAGTGGTGGCAGGGGAGGGCCGAGGCTCACCTTCCTTCTTCATGCCAGCACGGAAGCACTTCTTGAGCCTGCAGTAACGGCACTGGTTCCTCTTGTCTTTGTCCACCACGCACTGCCGACTAAATCTGGGGAGGGCTTTGGATGGTTGGATGGAGAAGGGACAGTCCTCCCGCTCCCAGGATTGAATTAGAACCCTGGCCGTCTGGTTGATTCCCAGCCTCTTTGCTCTCGCCCTTCACCCTTCTCATAGTAACCATGAGAAAGGCTCCATGGTGTCCAGCCTTGTCCTATTAAATGTGGGGAAACTGAGGCTCACAGACACAACATGTAGACCTGGATCACTCAGCCTGGTGGTAGAGCCAAGTTGGGAACCCCATCTCCTTTAGTATCAGAGCACCACTATTCCCACCACATCCTATAGATGCCCAGAGCCCAGAGCAGGATCTGGTTATAGCTAAGGCTCAATACTTGGTCCACATAAGCCATTTTCTGGAGGGGGTATAAGTAAAGGCAGTGCCCCGCAGTGGTAGTGGGTAGAGCCCTGAGTATCAGCCCGGGCTCAGCCATTGATTCATCTGGGTGACTACAGGCAAATTGCAAGCCCTCTCCAAGCCACAGCTTCCTCCTCTATAAAATGGAAATAATAAGACTAGCCACCTCACAGGGGCGTTGACAGGGGAAAATAACACATTCATGGAGCTTGGCACAGTATCCGCACAGGCAAATGCTCATAACCAACGGCTACCGTTTTATTGTTGTTGTCACCCAGAATGGCAGACATTTTTAAAGGAGGGATCTCCAAGCTTTAGGAAGACCTTGGGGTAGGTGGAAAGGCCAGGGGCCAATCTCCAATTTGCCCGAGAAAGAGCACCAGGTTGGGGGATGGGCCCCATCTTCTGAGGCCTCAGAGGCGGCTTGATAGTCAGCCTCATGGATCCTTCCTGGCTAAATGGGAAAAATGGCAATGAATGTGTAGGACTTAGCATGGTGCTTGCATACAGTAAGTGCTCATAAAGGGGCAGCCGATAGCTTTCTGATCAATGAATGAGGTGCCTAGAATGGTTGTTCACATCTGAATCCACAAGGCCTTAGAAACCAGAGAAGGCTTAAAGACCTTGAAGGACAGACCCGGGGGAACATTAGGCCAAGTGTGCTCATTTCCCGGCTGGAGAAATCAAGACCCCGGGAAGGGACTCCGCACCTGCAGGAGTACATGTGGTTCTTTCTCACACTCCTCCGGAAGAAGCCCTTGCAGCCGTCACAGCTCGAGGCACCGTAATGTTTGCCTGTGGCCCTGTCCCCGCAGATGGCACACAAGGCACTGACACCCAGGTTGTTGGCTGCATTGAGGTTGGCACCTTCTGATGGTGATGTGTCTGCACGAGAAGAAAAAAGAATGAGGACTCGGGAGGGTCAGAAAGTCACGTCCCAGAGGCCCTGTTCTTCCTGTGGTTTAGACTTACAAACAAATGAGTGCTATGGTGATCTCCCCAGGGCTTCAGCCTCAGCCAGAGTGCAGCGCTGTTCCCACTCCCTCAGTGACATTGCTTGGGCAAGCCCCCTCACCTTTTGGAACCCCTGTTCGGCGTCTCTAACTTAGGGATGGTTGTGACAGTGACTTCACAGAATTGTTTGTGAGGCGTGGTAGAGACTGCTAGCCCAGCCTTCTCTGGGAAGTAATGAAAAATCGGCTACCCCCCAGGATGCATCCAACCCTTATAGACCCTGATTGGGCAGAGGGCGCTGTGGAAGGGACAAATACTTCCCCAGCATCTGCCCAGAACCAGGCACTGCCCCTTATTTCTCATGGAGTAACTAGGCCTGGTGGTCTTAGCTTAGTGCCCAGAGGCCCTGCCAACTCTTCTGCGAAATGAGAAGACATGCTTCAAGGACAGTGGCTACAGCATCTACATAAATGCGAGGAGGGCCGCGTAAGGGGCAGGCGGCAGAGATCTTGGATTGAGTGCTTAGGGTTCTGGGTGCTAGTGCTGATGCTGTGGCGTTGGGCAAGATTTTTTTTCTTGCTTCAATTTCCCTTGGGCCTATGTTTTCCTAAATGTAAAGGAGGTAGTTCTATGGGTCCAATGGTTTTAATTTTTTTTTTAATTTCAGTAGCCAAACTCTCTTTTTATAAGCAAATCTCCCACCAAGAATAGACCTTTTGGAGAAGACAGTAAACACTATGTCCTACCTCCCCCGAAAAATGCATACGTGTGCACACCATGTCCTTTGTGTGCACACAAAGTCCTAACACATGTGTCCTCACAGAAACTCTGAATCCAACCTTGAATTCCTAGGTAACATCCAGCTAAGAACTGGAGAGGGGCATGGCACTGTGTTAAGAGCACAAAGTCTGGAGCCCTCTGCCAAGCTGGAATCCCAGCTTGCCCACTTTTAGCCCCTGCGACCTTGGCTGAATTAATTAACTTCTCGCTTTCATTTCCTCACTTGGGATACAGGAGAGAAGGGCCCTAGGGCTGTCGTGGTGAGTCAGGAAAGTGCTTGTCATCTAGTAAGCACTAAGTCAGCATTTGTGAAATAAAAACTTTTCTTCAGAACAAAACTGTCAGAAGACTTGCAGCCTCCACGCGCAAGCAGACGCCACTGCGTTTCGTTCCGCCGTCGCCTGGCTGAACATCTCCTAGACTCCCGAGGGTGCCCAGGAGTGCGGCCCCTCCACTTGGTGAATTATTCCCGGAGATGGGGATAATTGTTAAGCCGTGCTGGTGCCCTTTCTCCCTCAGCCTCGCCTCCCCAGACCCCCGGGAAGAGCTGACCCCACAATTCCCGGCCATTCAGGTTGAGGTTGGGGGAAGGGGTGCCCACATGCTGGGCAGGATGGGCTGGGTGCTGCCAGGTGTATGCTTCACCCCCAGATCAGCGGATGGGTCCCATTCTCTAGGTGAGAACGCAAGGCTCGGAGAGAACAAGTGGCTTGCCCAGGGCCATCACACTGCTGCTAATAGAGGAGCCAGATATACGGCCCAGGTGAACTGGGTGACTACGGCCTTAACTGCCATTGTGGGGGCATCTGTTAGGGCCTCTGAAGCGAGGAGCCCCTGCAGCTGCTGGCTCTGAATCGGAGGTGGGGGACAGGCGGAGAGCTATCCTTGGAGCCTTTGAGCCACCAGCCCAGGACACATGCCTAACATAACCTCAATTCGCAGACCATTTCAAACTGCAGTGAAGAAGGTGTGAGCCCTTCTTACAGATGTTCAGAGTTCCCGAGGTGATGCATCGGGGGCCAGGGCCAGTCACCAGTGCCAAACTCTCAGGCACCTTAGTTAGCTCGGCAGGGCGGAGGGTGGGGGGAATGGGGTGGGGGCGGGTGCTATTATTTATTCTCATTTTACAGATGAGGAAACTGAGGTTCCAACAGGAAAGGCACTATGTCGGAATTTGGGCCCTGCTCTTTCTGGCTCCAGAGCAGGAGGCTGTCCTGTCTTCAGGACGCCCAACTCAGGGGCTCGGCCTCTGCGTCGTTGGGAGCACAGGGCTCCAGGGAGCTGGAAGTGTGAGCTCTGGGGGGTAGATGGCGCCAGCCCCAGGGAGCAGCCTGGGGCTGGGCGGTGGCCAGGAGTTGACAGCACACACTGTCCCTGTGGGGTCACACGGCATCCTGCCTGGTGCAGCAGCTCCTTGTTTACCATTTCCCGCATGTTTTTCCCTCAGTTTCCTCATGTGACCCTTGCACACCCCTAAAAGCCAGCCGGCAAGCAGCTGTGGGGTGATTAAGCCCACTTTAAGAAGAGGCCAGCAGAGGGGACGTGACATACCCAAGGTCACACAGAGAGTGGATGCAGGGGCAGGTGAGCACCTGGTGCGACTGACCACAGACAGTGCCCACTGACCACAGGCAGAGTAGTCACCTCTTTCTGGCTGAGCCGAACTGACCGCAAGCCTTAGAGGCCTTGGCTGAAGCCGGTGGCCAACTGACCTCGGCCAGCCGCCACCCACTTCTCCTCCGAGCCTGGCTTGCCACCAGTTAGGGACCTCTCTCTCCAGAAACTTCTTGGCTTCCAAGCTTCTTTCCTTCCCCCACCTCCTTGTGCAGGAGAACCCCCTCCCCCCTTCAGAGGGGCTCTGGGTGAGGTGGGAGCAGGTGCATAAACCTGGGAGACATGTACAAGTAACCAGATATGCTCAAAGACAAACATTGCTGATGAGAATCTCATTTGGTGAATGGCAATGTCAAAATCCTGCACAACATGTCTACATAATCGTGCCCGTCAGAGAGTGCCAGCCCCCAGTGCAGTGAGGTGCATACGCACACGAGCAGGTACACACAGAGCAGGAGTCGGAATCTCCCTGTGGGACACATGTGCCTGGGAAACGCAAGACACGCAAGCAAGCCCACACCCACGGTACATGTGTGCAAACATCCAGACACATGTATATACATGCACTGCCACTTACATGCCTAAGCAAGACAAACACAGGCACCTCTAGAGATACCAACCAACATGGATCCACTCAATGAACACAGAACAGGTGCACACAGACAAATGAACGCAAACATGCAAATGGTTCCCACAGGCACATGATTGCCAACTCAGGACACCATCCACTCACCCACTCACAGGGAAACCCAGGCGTGCGCACCACACCAAGAGGAAGGCACGATCACACAACACGCACACGCACGAGCACACACACACATTGAGCAAAACTTCCCTGAGAACTCCCATTTTCTCTAAGTGGGGCATTTACCTCAGGAAAGTCCCAAAGACACCCTAAAACACAGTTGTGCCTCCATTCACTGTCTCCAGGGACTGAACGTACCTTTCCCTCTCCCTGGGGCTAGGCGAAAGGGATTCCAGAGGGGGCCGTGTTGGGCCCACACTGGAGCTGGATGTCAAGAGGGAGCTCGCCATCATATCCCTGCTCCCAGTGACACGCTGAATGGGAAGGGCTTTGAGGTACCAGGAGCCGGAAGGCCCTGGCAAAAATTCCTGGGACCTACTTCTGCTGGAGATCTGCCCTTGCAGGCCGCCCCCGACCCAGAATGCTGCTAGTCACTAGACCTGGGCACCTTCCCTTCACCAGGCAACACCTGGGCTGCCCTATTGAACCAAAATGGCCATTTTCTAGGATTCTCCCAACCCAAAACAGAGTGCCACGGGCCCACTCCCAGACCTGGGCACACCTGCCCCCACCTACCATTGCCCATGGCCAACACCTGCACATTCTCAAATTCCAGGGTGGTGTAGGCTGGGTCCAGCGCAGCACTGTAGTCGGCCATATCCATGTCGACAAGCGTTTTGGAGAGGCGCATCCTCCCCCTCCACACCTCAGTCACTTGCGCTGCCCAGGATGCCCACCACGCAGGCTCCAGGCCCAGCCGGCCCCCGCCCTTCCCCCTCCCCCTGTCTCCTCCCAGGTGCACTCTCTGCCTTCCTGCCTTTCAAACTGTCCTCTGGGAGGATCTCCCAGGAGTCTTGGCCTAGCGTCTGGGAAGGGGTGGAGGCTCTGCCAGGGAGGGGTGGGGGTTAATGGTTAATCGGCTCCCCCACTGGCGGATAGGCTGGGCGGGGCCGCAGGGATTTGGCTGTTTGTTGGCTTCTGGCTGACACTCGGAGTGCTGTTACAGCTGGTGGGGCCCTGGCTCACCAATATTCAGTTATTGATTCCGCAAGATGGAGAGGCTAGCTCACCGGCACTTGTTTGACCCCTGACTCAGCCACCCTCCAAGTCATTGTCACTCCAAGTCAGGCATTCTAACTGATATGCTAGGACACTGACAGCCACCACCGAGGCGCCCCGACTCAATGACTTCCCGAATCATTGACTACTACCCTCAATGCTCTTACAGAGATAAAGCTAACTCATGGCTCAGGAATTGAAAACTTAAATCCCAGGCTCCAGACACCAATCTTCTGGATCCTCGTCCCAGGAGCTCCCTCCCAGTCTCCCACCCCCCTTAAGAACAGAATGAAGTGAGTGTTTGGTAGGGCCAGACTCACCTCTGGTTCCACTCCCCTGCTCCCCATGAGCCCACTGTGGCCACCACTAGCCCCCACAGCACCCAGCTGTTCAGGTCCGGACAGACTCCATCTCTCATTCCCTGCCTCCCCCCAGAACAGGTGGCTAGCAAGACAAGGCTTGCAGCCCCAGGGACCTGGATTTGCACTCAGGCGCCTACCACCTACTAATTGTGACTTTGGGTAAATGATTCTCCTCTGTGTGCCTTTTACAGAGGAGAAAACTGAGGCTCAATCAACCTCAAGAGTGGAATGAATGTTCAATGGGATGGCCACAGTAAAACACCAAATGGTGCCTAGCAAGTGTCCTTCCCTCTCCCCCTGTCTTGTCTCCCTTGCTTCCCTCCACCCACCTCCTCCCTTTGGAGCGGGCACCACAGGACTGCCACCTGAGCAGCTGCACAGAGCCCCATACTCGGGCCCTGGGTGTCGTTTCATACTCTGCTGTTGCTGAAATTCTTAATAATTTCTGAACATGGGGTCCCACACTTTCATTTTGCACCGGGCCCTGAACACAGAGCAGCTGGTCCTGCCAGTCTTCAGCTCGTGGCTCCCCCATTTCTCCTCACACCTCCAGTCCTCGCCGCCCTCTTTACGAACACTTCTGAGAGCTCCCAGTCCAGCTGAGGAGGCAAGGTCGCAAGGTAGAAGGCAGAACTCACTGGGCAGAGGTAGAAGGACCGAGGCTTGGTGGCCTGGGGGCCTGCTCTCCTCTGCCAGCTGGAAGGACCAAGGTGGCAGGATTTGGTAATACCACAAGGAAGAGTGGGTGAATTAGCCTTGGCCGGGTGGCTCAGATGGTTGGAGCATTGTCTAGTACTCCGAAAGGTTGAGGGTTCGATCCCTGGCCCAGGCGCACATAGGAGGCGATGTTTCTCTCCACCCCACCCCCCGCCCACCTTCCACACTCTCTAAAATCAATAAACATATCCTTGGGAGAGGATTTAAAAAAAACAGTGGGTAAATGGGCAAGAGTAGGTAAATTAGTGAAAGAGTGAATTTACGAGTGAGCATGTGAGTGACTTAAAGAACGAGTGAATGAGAGACGGGGTGAATTAATGTGGGAATGAGTGAACTGATGAGTGGGTGAATTAGAGAGAGAGTGACTTAATGAGCAAATGCATAAATAAATGGTTGAATTAACAAGGAGGCAAGCCAGTGGGAGAGGCAGTGTATGTAGCGAGGTGCATAGCGTCACCCTCATCATGTTCTTTCAGTTATTAGAAGCCTTTCCTCTGCCCACGTAGCTTTGTTCTCCTTGTTCCATCTTCCCCTCAGAGCTGAGATAACTGGGGTGGGGGGCACAATTTTTCAGAAGAAAGGAGACTAGATTTGTCACCAAGAGCCCTGGGTTTAGGAATGAGCCCTGTCACCATCCAGATAACCTTGTTTAAATCACATCTCTCTGAGGGTCTCAATTTCCCGTCTGTAAAATGGGGAGCAGATCCTGGTCTATTTGATTGTAGGTCAGGACAAGACCCCAAGGGAGGGAGAGTGCCCCCCAAACCCATACTTTGAGATTCCATGAGGGCCTTCGCCTAATGGTGGGTTTCTCCCAAGTCCCACCCGGGGACATCTGGACATCTGATCCTGACTCCAGTGGCCTTGGGGACAGTCCTGAGTAGAGGTGGAGACCCGACTAAGGGGTAAACACAAAGCAGAAGGTGGGGCAGCTCTAGGAGGGTGGAGGGCGCCTCCAAGGACTGACTCTGGGCCCTGCCACCCATCTGGCACCTGTGACAGGCCACACACAGCTACTCCTCTCACAGTCCAGCAATACATGAGCTACACGTATGACATCTCGTCAAACCTAAGAGGCACACCCCACATTTCCCAAAGGGCACTGTGACTGTTCGCATGTTAGAGTTTAACTGGTAACAAAAGTAACAATCTTTCAATCTCTATAGATGATATCTTAGATTGAATTCAGTAAGATCTATGATCAATTAGGGTGAGCCATGTCATACATGACCCATTACACACAAGAACTACTGGGTGGACAGCCCGCACATGACAAGCTGCTAAGTATACAAACCATGACATACACTCTCTACCAAATGTACACCGTGTATGACCCACTATCTACGAGGACAATTCCAGAAGCCTATATATTAACTCATCCATCACAACTTACCCCCAAAGTAAATCTACCCACTCAGGAACTATATAATTTACATAATCTATTACATACACGATTTATCCCACCCTCAGCTGACCCTAAACAATACCTTCAAGTTCCTCATATAAACAAGCCACCACCTGTAAGGACTACTGGTTCTGTGGTCTCGGGCAAGTGATTATTTAGAAACCTGGGCTGCTGCTTCTGTAAAATGGGCCTAACATAGTTTGTTGTGACAATTAAATGAGCTACTATTATAAGGTTCTTAGCCCCACCCCACACCACCCGCTTCACAGAAGTATATCTTAGAGGATAAACCACAGGCCTTGAAATCAGAAAGACCTGGGTCACTATCCAAGCACTGCCAGCGTCCCAAACTCTGTGACCTCAGGTTCCATCTCTCTCAGCCTTAGTTTTGGCATCAGACAAATGGGCTAATACCCTCTCCACAGTGACAGTTGGACTACCACGGCCAAGCGTAGACTCACTGTGCAACAGCAGCAATTGCTGTCATCGGTGGTTGACTCTTGACCCCCTGGCCACATACTCTGTGGGAATGAGGGCCCCTGCACAGGAGAGCTCCGAGGCCTGGCACGCCCAGGTGAGAACACACCCTGGCCTCGATGCCATCAACGCAGCAGCACCCCCCCTTTTTTTTTATAATGTTCATAAGAGTTTATTTGAGCCAAACTAACATTTGCCAGGAGCGAGATCCCAAGTCCTCCCCAGCAGCCATTTTTATCTCTGCCCCACCCCCTCGGGCTGCCAGACCCCAGCTCTGAGGGGCTAACAGGGGACCTCAGAGCTCACCTAGAGGTCCAACTTCTTCAAGTAGCAGAGAAGAAAAAGAGGGGGGTGGCTTTTAGTGCTGCCCTGGGTGGCCAGGGGTTGGCAATGGGTGGCTGCAGACCCAGCTGTGCCAGGCCCAGAGCTAAGAACTTTTACCTCTTCTCAGCTAATCTGTCCGCTTTACAGATGACAAAACTGAGACTCCAAGAGGTGCAGTGACTTGCCTAAGGCAATAGGGATTGAAGGAGGAGGGGCTGTGATTTGAAGTGGAGTCTGACTCCAGAGCTGAGGGTTTCACCACCTGCAGACTACTTCCCTCCCGAAGTCCCACAAGAAAACCCTCAATCCTGGGGCACTGGGCTGGCAGGCCCCTGTCCCGCTCCTGCCCGCGAGCTCAGGAACCTGAGAAGGAAGGAGCCTGTCCCTGGCACTTGTTAGTTCAGAGGCATCCTCCAGACCCCACTACCCTGGGCTGCCTGGCGCCTTCACTTCCCTGGGTGCTCACCACCCTGCTATCTTCTGTCTCCTTCCCCACCTACCACTCTGGGGAGCAAGCAGTGAGGGAATCAGGGACTTATCAAGACAAAGAACAAAAGTCGTGGGGGAAAGAAGCCAAGAGCCATCTCCACTCTGGGGTAGGGCCCTTCAGTTTCGCCCCTTTGAAATTTCAAATTCCAGTTTGTGGACAAAGTCCTAAGTTTCTCACAATATAGGTCCCCAACCACTGACCAAACTCCAGTCCAGGCAGCCAGCAGGCCCGGGGCCGCTTCCTTTGGCAGCTCCCGAGGTCTGGGGTGAAGAGGCCCTGGCCCAAGTGGACCTACCAGGCCATCGCTGCAGCGCCATCCTGCCCGAAGGGGACCCCTTCCTCCCACCTGCGAGGACAGCCCTCTTCCTGGCGCTGGGATCTGACTCTTGCTGGCACCGACAACAGATACCAGGTAGGCACCCTCCCTGTTCTGGGCATCTTTTCTACCTCCTTGGCTCCAAAAACGCTGCTCCTCCCACCCTCCTCAGGCCAAGGCGACGTAATCCAGCCGTGCTCTCCCAGAACTTCGAGCCTGGAGAGAGTGCCTCAGCCTTCCCCCAGTTTGGTGCATGGGGACACCGAGCCCTCAGGGGAGTGGCAGCTGGCTGCAGGGTGAAGCACAAACCCGGGGCCCCTTACTAAGTCCCACAGGGTGGAAGGGACATGCTCGAGGCCGCGCAGCAGCAGTGGGGGAGTTTTGCCTTAACAAGAAGACCCCCAGCTCCATGAGGACCCCTTGTAGCCACTGCAGCCCTCCAGGGCCCTGGCGCTGCCTCCCAGAGACCTGGGATGGTGAGGTGTTTGTTCATTCAGCGACTGATGGCCACTGGGTTGCCACAGAAGTGCTCCTGAGAGGAAGATGAGGGAGCCTGGGGCTGAAGGCCAGTGCATTTGGAAGGAAACAACATTCATGTGGTTAACTGATAACTGGGCCCCATCCTTGGGCCCCCAGGAGCCTCCTTCC